GTTTTTTTACTTATTCCAGAACCCAGAATCTTGCACTTTCCATTCACCTTTACATACCCAACACCTGGTACAAAACATCACGCCCAGTAGGCACGAAACACGTATTAACTGTAATCGTTCCATTACACTATCTGGCACTTTTGAGTAACTCTGCTTACATATGGCAGCTCTTATAATTTCAGTATTTCTGTTTGTAATTTTCATGAGAGTTGGTATATATTCAAAATTTGTTAATTCTCCATGGTCTCTAGAAAACTCTACCAAAATGATGGTGAATACATTTTGATGATTAACTGGTTAGCAAATGAATATTTATTTTTAATAATTCTTAGGAGTGCTTTAAAAAATCCTTTTTGTTTTTAAACGTATTTTGTAATTTTATGCCTTGAATGATTAAATTTATCTCCTGGGAGCTACATTGCATCAAAACCCTGAAATAACTGGATTGTTCATCTCAAACAAAAATAGAGTTATTTATTGTGTTATCTAATACTAAACTTTTAGCAGTGGGATAATTATTTAAAGAAATGAGTAAGCATTAGACAATAGGATTTAGTTTGGTGATTTGACTCAGATTTGAACTTTAACACAGTGAAAGGTAAGAAGTAGGGAATGTGCTGTCCAATAGGATACTCTGAGGATCATTTACAGCCTTTGTCTCTCATTATTCCCATGAAAGCACTTTTTGTTTTTATTCTCCCTTCTCACTCCTTTCATTTTTCTAGTTCACTATCTTTACTCATGCACACTTACTTCCTCACAGCAAGTCAGATGTGAAAATACCAACAATCGGTGCTGTGCAGAAAGGACCTCTACAGAAAGGGGATCCAAATGAAATAGCATAATAAGTTGTCTTGAAGTCTAAAGTAAAATCTATTTATTGTCTCATTATAGAATGTCCTACTCCCAGGATATTTGGATTTGAGCTATGTTGACTAGGGGAGGAGAAAGCTAGCAGGACAATTTGTGAGCACATTTTTTTTTTTCATTAAAATGAGGCATTTTAGGAGAATGTTTCCATGTTCTGCAGAGTTGATTAGGCTTCCTAGGATTTTGATTAAGAAATTCTGATTCCTATAATAACTTTAAGAAGTTATATTTTCTGTAATAACTGGATGAAAATAGTTATCATACCAATTATAATTTAGAAATATACTGTTTGAATAATGATATACTTTCTTTAAAATGTAAAGCTATTTCCTGAAAACTGATTTACCTTTTGAAGGCCTGTAGTAGGGATGCTATCCAATTTATTTTCAATTCATAACTAATTTCTTTAAAACTCAACTAATAAATTATCATTCCCATAAAAGGAATCTGGCATATGACATACACTGCTATAAAATAAAGACATACAAGAATACTCTGAGAGAGAGACAGCATCTAGGAACTTGCTGGGAGGGAGAAAGCCTAACCTTGAAGCTTGGAAAGAATAAAGAAAATTGGCCAGAGACCAGCTGGACCACTGTAGAATCCAGGCAAAGAATGACCATATCTTAATACGTGTGTGTATGTGCCAAGTCTCTCAAGTCATGTCCAACTCTTTGAGACACTATGGGCAGTAACCTGCCAGTCTCCTCTGCCGTGTGATTCTCCAGGCAAGAATACTGGAGTGGGTTGTCATGTCCTCCTCCAGGGATCTTCTTCACCCAGGGATGGAACCCATGTCTCCTGCAGCTATCTGCATTGCAGGCAGATTTTTTTTTTCTTTTTTACCACTGAGCCACCAGGGAAGCCCATTGTTGTTCAGTTGCTAAGTCATGTCTGACTCTTTACAACCCCATGGACTGGAGCACACCAGGCTCCCCATCCTTCACAATCCCCTGGAGTTTGCTCAAACTCCTGTTCATTGAGTTGGTGATGCCATCCAACCATCTCATCCTCTGTCCTGCCTTCTTCTCCTTCCTCTTTCCCAGCATCAGAGTCTTTTCCAGTGAGCAGGCCCTTTACATCAGGTGGCCAAAGTATTGGAGCTTCAGCTTAAGCATCAGTTCTTCCAATGAATACTCAGGGCTAATTTCCTTTAGGATTGACTGGTTTGATCTCCTTGCTGTCCAAGGAGAAGTTCAGATCTTAATATAATTTAGTAAAAGTAGGAGGGAGACGTTGATGGTTATAAAATGGAGATGTTTAAAAATAGAGCCTGTAATATTGAGTCACTTTCTGGATCTGATTGTAGAGGGGACTCAGCTCCACTGAGTCACTCACCAAATGCACTGTGATCATGCCAGTCCAAGGTAGAAACCGCCATTGACACAATCTGCCCAAGATTTCAGGGGCAGATGTTAACAGGGAGCAGCTAGGCAGAATTAAGGGACCTCAAGGTCAGGGGAACAGGTAGCTGAGAACTTGTCAGAGGAGGCAGAGAGGTGGCAGAAGACAGACCCTTGAAGCTCAGGCTTTAAGCCCCAGGTGCTTATTCCATCATATAATTGGACTTCACTTACAATAAAAATTCAAAGAGAAAATTATTAGGAATTACACTCAGGAACAACATTTCAAGATGACAACTACAGAGCATTAAACCCCAGTTGAGGGGACCCTTCTGAGTTTGGGAGCCTATGTGACCATTCCAGGCACATTGATGTGAAACCGTGGTGCTGAACAGTGTTTCAGGCAATATAATATCGATGAAAAAAAAAAGCAAAAATGCCCAACACGAAGTTTATATTTTATTCATGAGAACAAAATTGATATGTTTTATGTTAGAGGATGGAAAGTTCTATAAAGAAAAATAAATTAAGGAATCCTTTACATCAGGTGGCCAAAGTATTGGAGCTTCAGCTTAAGCATCAGTTCTTCCAATGAATACTCAGGGTTAATTTCCTTTAGGATTGACTGGTTTGATCTCCTTGCTGTCCAAGGAGAAGTTCATATCTTAATATAATTTAGTAAAAGTAGGAGGGAGACATTGATGGTTATAAAATGGAGATGTTTAAAAATAGAGACTGTAATGTTGAGTCACTTTCTGGATCTGATTGTAGAGGGGACTCGGCTCCACTGAGTCACTCACCAAATGCACTGTGATCATGCCGGTCCAAGGCAGAAACCGCCATTGACACAATCTGCCCAAGATTTCAGGGGCAGATGTCAACAGGGAGCAACTTGGCAGAATTAAGGGACCTCAAGATCAGGGGAACAGGTAGCTGAGAACTTGTCAGAGGAGGCAGAGAGGTGGCAGAAGACAGACCCTTGGAGCTCAGGCTTTAAGCCCCAGGTGCTTATTCCATCATATAATTGGATTTCACTTACAATAAAAATTCAAAGAGAAAATCATTAGGAATTACACTCAGGAACAACATTTCAAGATGACAACTACAGAGCATTAAACCCTAATTGAGGGGACCCTTCTGAGTTTGGGAGCCTGTGTGACCATTCCAGGCACATTGATGTGAAACCATGGTGCTGAACAGTGTTTCAGGCAATATAATATCGATGAAAAAAAAAAGCAAAAATGCCCAACACGAAGTTTATATTTTATTCATGAGAACAAAATTGATATGTTTTATGTTAGAGGATGGAAAGTTCTATAAAGAAAAATAAATTAAGGAAAGAAGGCTATGGAAAGATGCGGGTAGCAATTTTAAATAGGTTGGTAAAGTAGAAGCTTCCCCTGAGCAGTTGACAATCGTGCAAAACTTGAAGGCTGTCAAGGAGGTGAGATTTTGGCTATCTTGAGAAAGAACGTTCCAGGTAATGGGAAGAATAAATCAATGGCTAGAGCAGGCATGAATCGCTTGAGTGAGTTTTATCACAAGAAGACACAGAGGAGTAAATCATGATGAGGTGATTAGTAGTGAAACCTTTCCCTAGACTTTACAAGAAAGGTCTGCTTAGCTTCTACAACCAATGGGATATGAGATCATACCATTGTTTTAACTCACATGAAGTACAGTGACTGATCAGGGAATAGACTTGGAGATATCCAAGCAACTGATATCTGTCCATACTTCCATGTCCCTCAAGAAGGGCTTCCTAGTTCCTTTCTCAGATGACTCTGAAAAGTTCTTGCTTTTCAGATTAAGAAGGGGTATCAAATTTCAGAGCATAAATTGGAAGCTTCTTATTTAGCTACACATGTGTGATTTAAATGGGAAATTAAAGAGAGTTAGACTTCTTAATGAAATACTGTTCTCAGACCATGACCTGCAAACTTATTCTGAACAAATGTCCTTCTCTATAGCAACACTTGCCAAGTTGTCACAAGCAGAAAACCATTAATCAATATTCCAGTCTAGAAATGTTAGTCAGTATCTGATAATCCTGTTTCCTTATAAAAAATGTTTTCTTGACCATCTCTATATTTATATCCACACTGTTAAGATAATTTAACATTTTAATATTTATTTTACAATAAGCAAATTCAGACTTAATAATAGCTGCACCAACATCTAACAAACAGATTGTCACATGGGATTGTCAAACACAGCTACATCTATCTAAGTCTGTAGCTAAAGTAAATATTGAACTTTACTAAAATCATAGTCTTTCTGACAATCTCACAACAGGGAGGAGAGGAACATCCTAATTTTACTTGGATATTTTCTCTGTTATCTTCATTAACAGCCTTCAGAGATGAAGTCTCATTATCTCCTAAAGTAACATGATAGATAAGTTTAATTTAATATATTATCCCATATAATAACTATTTCCCAGACTGTCCTTTATTCCCAGAGACACACTGTTCCATCAAATCCCAAACTGAAAATCCAAAACCCCAAAATGAACTAGGGGACTTCCTAATGTATAGGATGAATTTGTACAATTTTAATTCCCCCTCACTTTCCAGCTTTGCAATCTTGAGAAAAAACTTCATTGTTTTGTCATTAAAGAAAGCATGTATAATTATGTTTGCTTTTTCTTTAATATAATGGTAATGTATGATCGTTATCAGAAAGTTAAAAGAATACAATAAAGATGAAAAAAATTAAATTGTCCCTTTAACTATTATTAACATTTGGGTTATTTCCAGTCTTTTTTTTTAATGCATTTTTTTTTAAATTTTCTAATAAGACTAAATTTATTCAATACCCTAGTAAAAGTTTTGACTATAAGTATCCAAGAGTACAAAAAGTACAAAACAGATTTGTAGATTTCTAATATATTAATACAAAGTGCATGACTACGTACAGTACATCCTACAGGCAAAGAGAGGTGGAAGGGGGAAAGAAGACTGTGGTTGAGGTCTAGTAATAAATAAATAAATACAGAAGTAGAGATGATCCATATTATAGTATATTCTACCACCACTACTGCAGCCAAAATGTACAAAAAAAATTTCAAAATAACTCAGGAGGAAGATGATAATGGCTGGGGTTCTTGTAATACACCTCAAAGTCTGTGGGAGCACTGACCCAACTCACTGTGTAGTCTGTGCATATGGTGGCTTGTAGTTTTTTCCAAAGGAAGAAATATAAAATTTTAAGTTGCGATTAAAAACTATAAAACTATAGGGTGCCCATAAAAAGTGGCTCATTCTCTTGTTACGTATACTATCCAATCTTTAAAATCCAGTTTTAAAAATAAGCACTGAGTCATGTTTTACCAGGGAGGCTAACGATCATTCCTCATTATGAAAACGGGTGATATATTTTTCCTGTACTTTTAGAAAAGAGGCAATAGATAGTACTTTGGTTTGGGTTCAAGTAAAAGGCTTTTAATGAAGGTTTTAGAATGGAAGAGCTCCACATTTAGGATGTATCATCTAACACCTCAATGTTCAGAAAGCCTGACTAAAAGAAGCCAAACCAAAACCAACCCACTCAGCATTAACACACACCTCTTTTCTTTTAGTAGAATTTTACTTTAATATAGAATGAAAAAAAAAACAAACCCAAAACCCTAACAGGTTAAAACAAGTCAAACAACCATTCTACACAGATAAAACCTTCACAAAGGTCAACTGAAGTAATCCAGAGCTAAAACTGAGTTGTGCAGATTTTCAGTGAAGTCACCAGTCACGTAACATAAATTATTTACACACTTGCAAGCCCTCTAAAAAATGTGCCCCAAGAAGCATTAACCTTTTTTTTTCTCGTGTGCCATCCTAAAGACTTGCACATTGTTATTTTTCAGATAATCTAACATTTTCAATAGAGAATGTTCTCTACCAAGTGGTAATGCTTTGGTACTATTCATATAGGATTGCTTATTCTAAAGACTTGACATTTCCCCAAGAGGAACTTTGATTCTGCTTTAAGTTTTGATTCTGCTTTTTAAGTTTCATATAAATTAAAATCTGTATCAAATATCAATATGGAGTGAGGTGACACAGGATGCAACATATACAGTCAAGTTACCTTTGCCTATTTAGAAATTACTCCTTCAAGATATTTGCACCAGAGAGCTGTCTGTCCTGCTTAATATTCAGTAGTACAGGTTTGAATCACCAGAACCTTGGCAAGACCTTAATATTTCAGTTATTAACAACTACCTCTAGGGGCAAGTCCATGTTTACTGAGTTATGACAAATTTATTATAACGAAGGAAAACAAGTGTAGCCAGCCATCTTAAAAAATGCCCCAACCACTGCTTCTCAAAATAGAAAGACTAAAACTACATACGTTTATCATACAACAAATCCCATCTCTGTCCCCTGAAAATTCCCCTAATTTCATTCATTAGAAGGGGATTTTTAAAAAAGACTTAAAGAGCACTTTACAGCAGCATTCAGCTTTCCTATGAAATACTCAGCATCTTAAATATTATGTACACTTCTTTTTTATCTCTTAGTAAGCTTCACTGGCTTCAGAGTTTGTGGAACTGGAGGAAAAATAACCCATTCAAAACTATTCTACAAATCCATCTTTTGGCAGAATAGCAGGTATCCAAATTAAAAATAGGAGGGTCATTTTGTTGCTTTGTTTTCCAAAATTTAAATCATTTTTGCTCCCCTTCTACATAAAGCTTAGTCACCACTCCTGAGTGGAGATGGGCAGAGGCTCTGGCCCCTGCTCCTCCGGCTTCTCAGCAGCTGCTTTCTTATTGCTGCAGCAAGGTTTGAATAGATGTGTGTCGATGAGGACTTCCCCAAAACGGCCTTTATAGATAATGCCACAGCATATTTTCTGTCTTTTCCAGTATGTGAGATCTAAAAAGGAAAACACTGGCGTTCTGTTGGAGCCAGAAGCCATCTCTGCATCTGAGCCATCATCTGACTGCTTACTGTAACAGGGAGACTGAGCTGGACAGGCACTTGAGGTTGTACTGTGAGCATCAGAATTGTGGCCTTTCAATTCCTTCTGCAGTTTACTGATCTGGTTACTTTTTATTCTGTTTCCAGATAGAGTTTTCACTTTCTTTGGTCTCAGTGTAGTCTTTAGACTGGGTCCTGCCCTTGCATCTACCACATGATTCCAGTTTTTTTTTGATCCTGCTGGCAATTTCTTCCATCTTTTCACAAGCAGGACACAGGCATTACAGATATCTCCTGAACGAGTCTCATGTAACCCAAAGCAGCTCTGGAAATCCTTTTCATAGCGCTTACTGTCAGTGAGTCGAGAACTGGAGGATTTAGCTCTGCAAATACAGCAGCCCTCTATCCTTCGGTACATCTTTGTCTTCTGAAAACCAAACATCTTTTCTTCTGGGCAACAGCCTTCCAAAAGCAGCCGTTTCACACGCAATAACGATCCCGAGGGGCACAGTGCATGCCAAGTCAACCCCCCCTTCAATCGCTCCCTCCTCCTCAACAGCCTTGTCTAGCTTCATGCATTATTAGTGATAAAATTATTTTTTCCTGAAGTTCTCTGGCAATTAAATATGGGCCTCTGTGTCTGAAGTTTCATTGGCTCCCTCATGACACATGTGACTCAATATCTTGTTTGAGAAAAAGCTTTGAACTATGTGTTCCCTGAGACATTCATAAGCGGTTCTGAAAGTGAAATGAAGCTTGAAAAAATAAACCGAAAGCCTAAAAGATGAATTTGTATTTCAAAAGAAGAGGCAAGAGCTCAAAACTCAGGAACAAATTAAAGCAATGATTTTTTTCCTGGTTTCTTGTGCTTTAAATGTGTATCTCTAGGGAAGATCTACCTTCAGCCATTGAGGCTGTGGTTTATGTAGTAACGACTTTAAAACTGTGACTGGAACTAATTAGCCCAATTACTACTCAGGGTTTATACAATTAAGTAGACACAAAGGCTGTGTTAAAGACAAAAATAATCTCAGTCTAAGCAGGTAGTTTGAAACATCTCAACTGCTATCTGGCAAAGGCAATGGCACCCCACTCCAGTCCTCTTGCCTCGAAAGTCCCATGGATGGAGGAGCCTGGTGGGCTGCCGTCCATGGGGTCGCTAGGAGTTGGACACGACTGAGCAGCTTCCCTTTGACTTTGCACTTTCATGCATTGGAGGAGGAAATGGCAACCCACTCCAGTGTTCTTGCCTGGAGATTCCCAGGGACAGGGGAGCCTGGTGGGCTGCCGTCTATGGGGTCGCACAGAGTCGGACACTACTGAAGCGACTTCGCAGCAGCGGCAACTGTCATCTACTGGCTACCAGAACACACTGGAAAAGTTGAGGTCTTACAGTTGTGGGATAAGTTCTAAATCTATTTTAAATATGAACCTCCAGGAGGTTCTGATACAGCTAGTATACAGGTCCACTTTAGGTAGCTACTGATTTAATCTAACTAGATTTTCTTTATAGTTCTTTTATACTTTCAAATCCATTCATAGTACAGTGAGTTGAGTCAAAATTTTAGATGCTGACTATTATGTTCATGGTAAGGGATAATTTTTCAGATGGAGAAATATATAGCAAATGTAAGAAAAGACCCAGGACTGGGTCAGTAATTCTCAAAAAATTTTATAGAGAAACTAACACTTTTAAAGTGCACATTTTGGGCTCTATTTTCAGAGATGGAAATTTTGTAGACATTGATTCGATAATCTGCAACTTTAATAAATATCCAGGGCATTCATATATAGTACTTCTTTGAGAAACACTGGATTAAAGAATGTTGTTTGCTTTGGGTGATTAAAGACTGTTAGGAGTCATGCTCCATATGTATTCATATTTAGCTCAGAATTATGTGAAAAATAAGAGTCAGACATGGCTGAGAAACACTTTCTTCTATGTGAAAAATAACAATAAAGTAATAAATTACACACTTTTTACAATATATGTTGCCATGTCAATTCCATACACTTTTGTACATGCAATTATACACAGATAGGGTGGTGAGAGAGAGGCTACTTACATTAACATGTCTATGCATGTGTAGGTACATGTGGGCGTCCCAGGTGGTGTTAGTGGTAAAGAAGCCGCCTGCCAATGCAGGAGACATTAGAGAAGTGGGTTTGATCCTTGGGTCAGTTAGTAGATCTCTGGGTCAGGAAGATCCCATGGAGGAGGGCATGGCAATCTACTCTAGTATTCTTGCCTGGAGAATCCCATGGACAGAGGGACTTGGTGGGCTACAGTGCATAGTGTCACAAAGAGTTGGACACGACTAAAGTGACTTAGCATGCATGTGTATGTACAGAAAGAAGGAGAGAGGTGGCGACAGAGAGAGGGAAAAGGCCTGTTTTAACACAAATTAAGGTTTTTCTGCTTTATAAAATGAGGCTATAAGCGAATTTTTTCTTAAAAGATTTTTACAAGTTTGTTTGACTTCATTAATCTCTCCACTCAATCACACCAGATAAGAGAGTCCAGGGGAAGACTTTTAACTTTATAAACAGGTCCCTGGAGGCAACCCTTGAAAAAACTAACTCTCAGATTGATTTTCCTATCAGGTTTTGAAATAGCATTAATACTGTGTGCCAAAGGAAGGTGGAATAAGAATAGTAACATAGAATAGGCATGATTTTTTTCCCATTTATCTTTATTAGTTGGAGGCTAATTACTTTACAATATTGTAGTGGTTTTTGCCATACATTGACATGAATCAGCCATGGATTTACATGTGTTCCCCATCCCGATCCCCCCTCCCACCTCCCTCCCNTTCACTCTGTATAATGGGCTCCAGTTTCATCCATCTCATTAGAACTGATTCAAATGAATTCTTTTTAATGGCTGAGTGATATTCCATGGTATATATGTACCACAGCTTCCTTATCCATTCATCTGCGGATGGGCATCTAGGTTGCTTCCATGTCCTGGCTATTATAAACAGTGCTGAGATGAACATTGGGGTGCACGTGTCTCTTTCAGATCTGATATCCTTGGTGTGTATGCCCAGAAGTGGGATTGCTGGGTCATATGGCAGTTCTATTTCCAGTTTTTTAAGAAAAGCCTTGATGATAATAAATAAATTATTCTGCCCTAGTGCAGAATAATTTGAAGTAACTGTGAAAGCTAGAATCCTACTTTGGGTCACTTTGTATAGTGTGCAAAGGTCAAATGAAAGAAAAGCATATTGCCTAATAATACAATTATATATGTGTGTATATATATATACATATATATATATTTAAGCTTTTAGAGAGATTACAGTGTTTTCTGGCATTTTGCAATTTCCCTAAAATGGCTTAATATTTTTAATTTAGTGGATTATACTTGGTCTTTTACTCAACTTCAATACTTTGGCCACCTGATGTAAAGAGCTGACTCATTTGAAAAGACCCTGATGCTGGGAAAGATTGAGGACAGGAGGAGAAGGGGACAACAGAGGATCAGATGGTTGGATGGCATCACCGACTCGACAGACGTGGGTTTGGGTGAACTCCGGGAGTTGGTGATGGACAGGGGGGCCTGGCATGCTGCGGATCATGGGGTCGCAAAGAGTTGGACACGACTGAGTGACTGAACTGACTGACTGACTGAATAAATCAGAATCCTAAGCAATACAAGGGTAAACTAGAAAATATAAAACCTGCCTGGCTGTGTCTTCTTCTTTCAATCTCCTCCAGAGACAGTTTTCTGTGCTTCCTTGCTCCCACTTCTCTGAACAAAGCAATGTTAGAAAGTAGCTCATAATACTGAGCACTCCAAAAGTCAAAGGCATGACAGGCTTAAAATGGAATCACAAAAGGAGTGTTTACATCTTTTTCTTTAATACTTGTGATTGTATTTAGAATTGTAAATGAAAATACTATAGATTAAGATGTTAAGTAAAATTACAAGACATTTTTATGAAAACCCTTTACTCTTTCTCACTATTTATTTCTCTTCCTCAGAGGCCACCCCTTTCAACTCCTTTCACTGATCATTTGTTATATAGCTATATATTTCTAAATAACATATTTAACCTGTTATTTCTTGTTTTTCAGTTTTTAAAAATATCCAGTGTGGCTTTAACTGGTCTCTTACATGACAAACCCCACAATACACTTCCCATTCCTCCATCTTCCCAGTAGAATAACATAATATTTGCTAAAGTCAATGAGTGATGATGTCAATGTCATTATACTGTAAATAAGGCAACTGCTGAAGTACACCATGATTTCACTTTCTTTTGTATATATAAATAATAGTTTCCTTGAAGTAATAGTTACTTTTATTCTGTTTCCTTTGTTCTTTGTATCTTAATGTATCAATAACTGATTCCCAAATTGTGTAGAGACTGTCAGGCAGAATGAAGTAAGTTAGAAAGAGAAAAACAAATATCATATAATATTGCTTATGTATGGAATTTTAGAAAAATGATACAGATGAATTTATTTGCAAAGTAGAAATAGAGACACAGTAGAGAAGAAACAAATGGATACCAAGGATGGAAGTGAGGTGGGATGAATTGGGACTAACATATATACTCTACTATGTATAAAATAGATAACTAATGAGAAGGTACTCTATAGTACAGGAAACTCAATGCTCTGTGCTGACCTAAATGGGTAGGGAATCCAAAAAAGAGGTTATGTGTGTATATGTATAACTCATTCACTTTACAGCAGAAACTAACACAACATTGTAAAGCAACTATAGTCCAATAAAAATTAATTAAAAAAAAAGGATTGGGAGCTTTATTTAACTGCTTTGGGGCCTTTCCTCATTGCTTTTTCCTGAAATAGCATTCTCAGAATGTAAGAGATCATGGTCAGATTAGTAAGGGTAAACTATAAAAAAGAAGCTTGAAAAGTACAATGAAGAAAAGTAGGACCTATACCAGTGGGATTTTGTCTGGGATCCTCAAGCAACCATGTATTGGATATGAGTTAGCACTGGTTTGTTGTGGGAATTAAAGCTATTAATCAAGAATATTATTAGTGACATTAAATGGAAGAACTAAATTAGGAAGCAGAAGCTCTAAAGTATCACCCTTCTTCAAGTCTTTTCATAGACTCTCCAAAGTAGGGTAACTTTCCCTGAATACAAGTCTGTAACATGTCTTTCCCCTACTACTAGAATTGCCAAACAACTGAATTTAAAGCCAAAGTTCTGGTTAGGATTTTGGTTTCAGTAAGATAAGTTGTAGCACCCTTATGAAGAGATGGGGAAAATTAAAATGAAAATTGCGTATTTACTCTTTGTAGTCTACTTTTTGTTTGGCTCAAATTGTTTCAGCTTTGTCTAACTAATAAGCCACAAAAGCTACAAAGGCCAAATAAAGACAAAATTTCTCTTTCATATAAAATCTCTGATATGGGCAGTGCAGGGTGGATGTGAGCATCACCAAAGATGTGGAATTCTTCCTATCATGCTGCTGCCACAGCCTTGTTTGGTATCTGTGCCCAAGTGTACTTCACGGTACAATAGAGCTTCTGGAGCTGTGTCCACCCAGACTCAGGCAACAGGATAGAGGAAGGACAGACG